TCATAAATGAATGCTATATCTTGTTGAAGGCTTTTTCTGCATCTATATATGATCATATGAGTCTTATTTTTTAATTTGTTTATGTGGTATATCTCATTAATCGATTTGCATATGTTGAACCATCCCTTTGCCCCTGGGATGAAGCCCACTTGATTGTAGTATATAATCTTTTTAATATGTTGGTATATTCAGTTCGCTAGTATCTTATTTAGGATTTTTGCACATGTGTTCATAAGAGAACGCTTTCAAACTCATTTCAGGAGGCCAGCATTACACTGTTACTAAAACAAGACAAAAAAAAACCTACAAAAAATTATAAGCCAATGTCCCTAATAAACATTGATGCCAAAGTCAACAACAAAATATTAGCAAACCAAATTCAACAATATAATAAAATGATCACACATCACAATCAAGTGGGATTTATTCCAGAGAGGCAAGGATGGTTCAATGTCCACAAATCACCATGATATACCACATCAACAAAACATAAAATAAAATCATATAATGGTATCAACAGATTCATAAAAAAAAAACATTTAACAAAATTTGAGAACCATTTATGATAAAAACTCTCAACTCAGTGTGTGCAGAAGGAACATACCTCAACATATTAAAAGCCATATATGACAAAACACAGTTAACATCATACTTAATGGTAAAAATACTGAAATTTTTAATTCTCAGATCAAGAAAAATCAAGGATGCCTACTCTTACCACTTTTTATTAAACATATTATTAGAAGTCCTAGCCACAGCAATCTGAGAAGAAAAAGGAATAAAAGGTATCTAAATTGGAAATGCAGATGATATTATATATAAAAAATCGTAAATACTCCACCAAAAAACTATTAGAACTCATAAAAAAAATTCAGTAAAGTTGCAGGATACAAATTAATATGTGAAAAATTAGTTGGGTTTTTATATACTATATCTACAAAATATCAGAAAGATAAATCAAGAAAAACATTCAATTTACAATTACATCATAAAGACCAAAACACCTAAAAATTAATTTAACCAAGAAGGTGAAAGACCTGTAGTCGAAAAACTCTAAGATATTAATGAAAAAAATTTAAGCTGACACAAATAAATGCAAAGATATTATGGTGCTCATGGACTGGAACAATCAATACTGCTAAAATGTTCATGCTACCCAAAGTGATTTACAGATTCCACGTAATCCCTATTAAATTCTCAATGGTTCTTTTCAAAGAACTTATAAAATAATCCTAAAATTATTATGGAAAAACAAAAGTCCCCAAATATCCAAAGAAATCTTCAAAAAAAGAACAAAGTTGGATGTATCATGCTTCCTGATTTCAAACTATTCTGCAAAACCAAAGTAATTAAAACAATATGGTACTGGCATGAAAACAGACACATAGATCACTGAAACAGAATAGGGATCTCAGAAATAACCCCAGGCTTAAATGATCAATTAGCCTGCCACAAAGGAGGCAAAAATATACAATGAGGAAAAGACATTCTCTTCAATAAATCGAGTTGTGAAAACTAGACAGCTACATGCTGAAAATGAAACTGGACCACTTTTGTACACCATATATACAAATATTTTCAAAATATATTAAAGACTAAATATTAGACCAGAAACCATAAAATTTCTAGAAGAAAACATAGGCCTATGTAATGTTGTCTTGGATATGTTTCCCCAAGCAAGAACAATAAAAGCAAAAATATACAAATAGGATAACATAAAACTAACAAGCTTTTACGCAGTGATAGAAACCATCAACAAAATGAAAAGTCAAACCACTGAATGGGGAGAAAATATTTGCAAATGATATTTACAATAAGGGGTTAATATCCAAAATATGTAAAGAACTCATACAACTGAACATCAAAAAATCAAACAATCCAATTAAAAAATGGACAGAAGATCTGAATAAACATTTCTCCAAAGAGGGCATACAGATGGCCAACAGACACATGAAAAGATGCTCGACATCACTAACGTCAGAGAATGCAAACTACAATGAGATATTACCTCATACCAGTCAGATTGGCTATTATCAAAAATAAAATAAATAACAAGTGTTGGCAAGGAGGTGAAGAAAAGAGAACTCCTATGCACTGCTGGTTGGATTGCAAACTGGTACAGTCACTATGGAAAACAGTATGGAGATTCCTCAAAAAACTAAAACTTACATATGAGCCATCAATTCCACTACTGGATATCTCTCAAAAGAAAACAAAAACGATAATTTAAAAAGATATGTGCATCCCTTATGTGTAGGTTCACTTAATATTCCTGAATTTTGAATTTGTCATATGTCAAATGGGCATAATTTCTTCTTGAGTTACTGTGGGGATTAAAGAAAATTAGTTATGGAGAAAACTTGTACGATGCCTGACAAAGAGTTGGTGCTCAATAAACAATAGCTATTTTTATTTAAGAACATTGAGAAATATATGATAACCATGCTTATAGGTAAGATTATCCTGGTAGGAACCAGATTTCTGCATTGCTTTGAATTATAAAAGTAGAACCACCTTTATCATCATATTAGTATTACCTGGCGAAGGTTTATGTCCAAATATGCCATTGAAGAATGCAGGCATCCGTATACTGCCACCAATATCTGAGCCCACACCAATCACTGAGCAGGCAGCTGCCAGCGTACAGCCCTCACCACCTATGGGAAATGCAAAATATTCCTTTTAAATAAACAAATTAGGTTACTATTTGCATGAAGTATATTTTATCATCCTTTCATTTTTAACCTTTCTATGTCTTTAGATTGGAAGTCTCTTGTAGACAGCATTTATTTGGATCATGATTTCAATTCATTATGTTAGTCTATGTCTTTTGATTCAGGAAATTAATCATTTTATCACAGATGTAACTACTGATAGTGATGAACTTACTTTTGACTTTTTATTTTTTATTTCCTGTATGTCTTATGGTTTTGGTCCCTCATTGCTTTATTACTGACTTTGTGTATAGTTGATTTTTTGTAGTGGCACTGTATTTCTCTTCCCATTCCCTTTTTTTTTTGTATATTCTACAGATATTTCCTTTGTAGGTTACCATGGACTTACAAATACCATCTGTTTATTTTATATATTATACATATATTTCTGTATATTATGATATTTTGATATCTTAAAAAGACATTCTGATGGGAGAGAGATTGTCCCTCCCTGGGCTAGCCAATTCTTAGAGCAAATGGCCTACCCAGAGCATGCCTTTTATGCAAACTAACCAACCCAGAGCCATACCTCCTCTATCTGGATGCACTACAGGAGGCAATATTCCTCTACCTCAATCATTCAGGGCCAGGTAAAAGGCAACTAGAGACTAGTCCTATAGTCCAAAGCCTGATGACATTCAAACTAGCCAATCCTAAGCTGTTTACCTTGCCCTGCCTTGTCTTTCCTGCAGAAACCCCAATAAAGACTGTGGCTTAGCATTCCCCCTGCTCTTGTCTTCTGCCTTCTAACCACCCTGGTGTCTTTCTCATGTGGTCCTGAGTAGTTTGCTGTGCCTTCTGTCTCTAGGACCTGTGAGTATAATAAACTTTGTTTTCTTGAGCTTCTCCTGTGTTTCCTCTTCTGGCTGCACTTGACCGACCATCTCATAAAAAAATACAAAATGACATCCTAAAGTCATAATAATCAATTATAAATGTATGCCAACTTAACTTCAATTGCATGCTAAAACTATACTTTTATGTAGCTACCTCCCCTCCATTTTATGTAACTGATTTAACAAATTACATCCATATATATTCTTTACCCACTAACAGATTTATAATTATTTTTATGCACATATCTTTTAAATACTGTATAAAAGGTTGGTTTTCAAACCAAAATTACACTACTGCTTGTTGTTATGTTTATTCATGCATTTATCTTTACCAGAGATCTTTATATTCATATGACTTTGAGTTACTCTCTATGTCCTTTTATTATAACTTGAAGGATTCTTTATCATTTCTTTGAGAGCATATATGGTGACACTGAACTCCCTTCCAGCTTCTGTTTGTCTTGGGATATCTTAATTTCTCCCTCATTTATAAAGGGCAATTTTTCTGGACATATAATTGTCAGTTGACAGTTATTTCATTCAACAATTTTAATATATCATCTCACTGACTTTTTGCCTCCAAGACAAACAGAAAAGGTTTCTGCTGAGAAATCTAATGATTATTTTATTGAGGATCGCTTCGACAAGACTGTCTTCTTTCTCTTTCCACTTTAAGATTTTCTCCTTGTCTTTGCCTTTCAAAGGTTTGATTATGTGTCTCAGTGTGGGTCTATAGAGACTTATACTACTTGGAGTTCATTTTTAAAATTGTACATCTGTCTTTCCTCAAATGTTGAATGTTTGAGGCTATTATTTCTTCAAACAAAATTTCTCCTTTTTTCTCGTCTCCTTTTAGGAATCCCGTAAAGCATAAATTAATCTTCTTGCTGATGCCCTAAATGTTCCTTAGTCTCTGTTCACTTTTCTTCATTCTTTTCCTTTTTGCTCCTCAGACTTGATAATTCTATCTCTTGAGAGTCAGAAACCCAAGAGTTATTTTTTACTTTGTTTTTATCATCTCCACAAACACTAGTGTAAGCGACTATCATTTATCTCCCGGACAACTAAAATTGACTTGTTATTTCTCCATTTGCTTCAGCTTTTGCTCCTCCACATAATCTGACCTGGATGAAACTTTTTGATTTCATCTCTAACTCTTCTCTGTCTTACTCACTACACTAGTTTTCTTTCACCGAACACACTAAGCATATTCCAATCTCAGGCTTTTGTGCTTTCTGTATTCTTTACCTAGAATGCTCTCTGCTTGACTGATGACCCCCATACCCAGAATAATTAGTTATCTCTGATCTGTTGGGTTTCGTAATAAATATCACCTCCTTAGAGAGAATTTCCATGACCATATCTGCTATACTCCTGCATTAGCATAGTTTCAAGTGCAAAAGCACAGTTATCAGAGCTCAGTGTCCTTACATTATTTTATCACCTTCATTTCAAGAAGATATCGGTGGTCCTAAGCTAAACCAGCTTCACAAACTCACATTCTTTCTCTCCCCCTTACCCCGCTCTCTGTCTCATTACACATATACACTCAAACCAAGAGTATGAATGTTCATTATTTACAATACACTTCACCAATCCATGACAAATTTTGCAACTTACTTGACCATAAACACCTAATTATGATTTTCCCAGAGGTTTGTGCAATATCCCCTCCTCAAAGCGACTCACTGAAATGTTCAACTTACCAGAACTTCCACCTACAATATGCTGTAAATCATAGGGGTTGTTGGATCGGCCATAGATCTTATTGCTGGATTCGTACCACATGCACAGCTCACTACAGTTGGTTATGCCAAGGGGAATGGCACCAGCTTCCTTCAGTAAAGCCACTACAGTGGCATCAGTTTTGGAAATGACATTACGACGATTCACAAGGCCAGAA